TCATTGGTACGCTCATATTAATGTTCGCTACTGTTGGTAATCTGTACGCACTTAGGAGACGAGGGTCTCCAAGCGCCACCCCGTAAAATGTCAGTGTCTGGCCTCGAATTGCGATGTTGATAGACTTGGCGATGTATGCCTTCAAGTCGTACACAAACCGTTTCTCGCTAATTGTTAGTTGAATGAGGACTCGTTGTCGGAAGATGATTGATGCGGGGAGAGGCATGCCAACTCAACCCAAGAAAGTAAAATATGAAACAACAGCTACACATGCATTTTTTTAGTCGAATGAATCTGTTACTGCTACCTCGTTCAGCATATGAGCGCCCTGATAGACAGGCTTTGTTTCCTTTCATATGGGTAGTATTTGTGAGAGACAACCTTCCATCGAAGGAGAATCGATTGACCCCAAAGGACAATGCAACTACACGACATGCTACTTAATAAATTTAGATGAACAAATTTGATGGCCATTTGTTTATCGTACAGGCTAAAACATATTATTGATAGTAATCAGAGACTATGATATCTTTGGGTACTCAACTAAGCAGAACTGAGTTAGTGCAACTTTATGTATCTTCGGGATGGGCATGTACATACAAATATTACAAGATGGCTGTGTAGATAGTCCATACCGCTTAAGCTTCATCGCCACATATCCACTACTGTCAAATCAAGGACTTCATCTGATTTAATTCCCAAATCTATCAACGCTTTCTTCGCATCTTTTTCCGTAAGCAACCGGTCGTTGTAGGAGAGCAGAAGCTGTTCAGCAGGAACCTGCAATGAAGATGATAGGGACTGTATAACCTGCTTCAATGTGGTACCCAGACCTATCCGCACGCGAATTGGGTTCTTCCTAAAGGACACCTTCACATAAACTTGGTATCTGAGAGCGTAGCCTTGTGAGAGGTTAAGGAGTATGCCAGCATTGACAGGCAAATGGTACTCTTTCAATTTTGTGTTGTTTTTCAATTCAACCCCACCGAATGACAATTTCTGGACTGAGACAGGGATATCAGTCACCTTGGTGATGTACTCCTTAACTCGCAGAACATAATTATTGTCACTTGTGTAGACAAAAACGACGTTCCTCTCACGATGCACTATCGTCAGTTGGAGATGCATTTTAGTGATGAACCTGAGAAGTAAAACGCAAGCATTGCAAAACTAATCCCTCCGTAAAACCCATATAACATTGTATTCGAAGCTTAATAAAATACGGATTTGAGATGCTCCAAACAAGTTATCACGCATTATAAGTGGTGAAAGCACTCTATGTAAAGAAGAACAGCCTATTGGGTTAAATATGAACGGGCTTATTTACCGCATTGATGATGTTAAAGACATTCATTGGGTAAATAATCGTGACTACTTGAATATTTACTTACCTTTTAGCAATGTA